CCTGCTTTAAATTTATAGTGATTAACAATGCCATTTGTTATGTTTACACTTAGAAAGCAATATTCAATTTTGATGTTGGTAATGTTGATTTTTCTGACTATAGGCGAATTAGTTTATTTTGTTGGAATAGAAGTGATATAATAGGAATTTGCAATTATTTAGTAATCACAAAATACACAGACGTTTGTTCCAAATTTCATTGTGCTCCTAAATCGAATAACTTACTGATGCGTGTGAAGATACAACATAATGTATCGCACTTTTATCTTAAAAAATGTTATATTATAAAATTTTATGCTAATGACTTGGCAAAATATATATATTCGAATTCTTATGAATTAAAATTTTAGAAATATTATAAACAAATTGTCCCCTCACGAGTTTCTTAATAATGGATTTTAAAATTCAAGTTTTACCATCACCAATTACTTCAAAAACTAAAGCTATTTAATATTGTTCAAGGCCACCGTCTAATACAATATCTTAAGATGTTATGTATTTCCTATAGCGAGCCAGAGGGAGGATTAAAATCAAGCAACAGACATTGTTACTGAATTGCAATACAAAATTCCTAATAACGTTTTCAGAATGCAACAATTGATTGAATTAAATAAAAACACTAACAAAACATATTGCAATAATTTATCAGCCAGCACCTACTTACAATCCCCTGAGAAAATCAAGAGTTACCTTATCCAACAAATATACCAGACAATCATAATCCATGCTAAATGTATAAACCTAACATTCCTATCCTAAATATAAAAGTGAATGGGACAATCTTACCCTGATTATAATTGTCTCCATCCAGTAGAGGACGTCCATGTTTAGAATCTCGAATCTGTTTTCGGCAAGCTTCCTTAGGTAAGGGTTTCTTGGTTCAGCTCTTCTACTCTGCCTCGGCAAACTGCTGAAGATTTCAGTTTCTAATTGATCATTAATGGCATGTTTGGTAATGTGCATTAGACAATATTGGACAGTATTAAGCAAGGCTAAAATCTTGTACTGTCGGGTATGATCTATACTACATACCGCACATGCATTATGTAGCTATCTGCCTTCTTCCACTAGTCGATTTTGTGATCATTTCTTTCAGATCATCATAGCGATTGCGGTGATAATCAATCCAAATACACAGTTGTTTTATGGCCATCTTTTTCTCCTCGATTAGGCTCAAGAATCCCTGTTCTTTTTCATTCATCTTTTCGTCCCTTTCTTCTACATTTTTCTCCAGCTCTCCCAACTTCTCTTCTATTTCTGTTACCGTCTTCTTTAAAATTTCCTTCTCACCTTCGGCCTTCTGCAATTTTATCTCGAGTTCTCCAACCTTCCCTCTCAAAAGCAACTCTTGTTCTTTTTCATTTTTAAGTTGCTGAACTAAGTTGGTGATTTCGTTCTTTAGTTTGTCTTTCCCAACCGTGGTCTCTTTTATCCAGTTAGCTGCAACCTCCAGCTCATTCACGA